TTACGAGTTATATTTAGTGGGGCTACAGACCTCCGATTCGCTTATATTTTATATGCACGCTGAGCCCCACGTGTCTAGTTTTTGATTATTTAAACTTTACAATAGAATCTTGAGAACTTGATTTTAAACGAATTTTTAAAGACAACAACGTCTGCCAGGAAATTACTATTTTCAACAAGTTAAGGAATTTTGAAAGTATACTCTGATTTTTGTAAGGAACCCGATTTCAATTACAAGTTTTAATTAGCAACGTCAAAATGTTTTTTTCAGTACTTGAAATATGACAAAAGAACTCTAATTCTGCTTAGCAAACGACTCTCTTGGAGGCCTACAAGGGAGAGTGTTACACTAATTGGTATCAGAGCAGTTTCGATTCAAGGTCTTTGTATTTGATGAAATATTTGTTGTTGTTATATGGTTGCTGAACTGTTGTTGCCTGGTTATATTGATTATTTGTATATGTTCGTTGCATTGTTGCTGTTTGAACTTAGCTGCGAATGGTTTACTGGGTAAAATTACTTTATATTTGGAGGTGTGAGGATGCTGGTAGTACACTGTATTAAGCATGGTTGTGCCCATTCCCTTGCTAGGTGGTGAGCCTGATCAACTCACTATCGCGCAAGTTGTGTGTGCACAATCATGGTTATCATGGGGTACACTTGAGTCGGAGCACTAGGTTTGAAATAGTGAATTGCTACTTGACTTAGTGATTGATTATAAATTTTGCTTTCTATGGATTATAAGGAAGGTTCTATATATCTAAACTTGATGTGAATATTTTTGTGATGTCCTAAGCTGTGGATGATAATAAGTTATCTTTAAATAATGATTGCTGCTACATATTTGTTTTTCTGATTTATGACTTTTCTTGTGTGTGGGATTGTAGCGTCCAGCTGGGTAATGGAAACTGTTATTCTTTTTCACTAATTCTGTTGGGTCTCATAACTGAGTAAGGGTAGTAGGGATATAATCATGACAATTGATGTAGTTATTTAGTTTTACGAAGGACTTGTTATTTGACCTGAAACTATATGTAGACAAACTTATGTAGGGATAGATCACTTATCAAAGTAGATCCAGTCAATACCCTTATAAAGTAGAGTTGGAATTAATTAAGGCTTTAACATGTGGGTCTGCTGTCTTTACAAATCTTCTTATGGTGAATTGGCTCTAGACATCCTTCTTGAGAAAGAAATTGTTAAACAAAGTGGTGATGTGTGAAAGAGGGAACTTGACTCTTACCCCCGTCCTCCATGCGAGTGATACTTGTCGTCTTAGCTCATGTGCATTGATTTGCTTTATATGATTTTGACTACTTTTGGACTTGCGTATAGTGTATTGTTTTTGATTATAGTGACGGATTTTATGTGATGATTGTTGAACTTACTAGTTTAGATTTTTCACATTATAGTGTTTGAAACTTTGTTGCTGAAAACTTGATTCCATTTTATGCTGTTATGAGTTATCCTAGAATAACCGATTGACTCATATATACTTCTTTTATAATTATTGTGAGACAAATTATGAACGGGAATGATATTGTATAAACGTTTGTTATTTGGACTGCGCAAAATTATTTTGATTTTGTGAGTGGTAAGAATCTTAAATCTTTCTTTGTATTAATTCGCACTTTATGAAAGGAACATACAGAATTTTTATGACGCACATCAGTTAGATATCAGGTCAGCTCATGAATTGTCTCATATAACTAGACCATTTACTCATGATGTATTGAGTCATGCAAAATCCACGGTTATGAAAGAGAGTTTAATTGCATTTACTCCATGATAGCTTTAGAGGATGTGTCTGGTTGGAATCAACAAGAAGTAATTATCCATACTCTCAGTCTTTCCTTGTTTGTTTTGATTAAGGCGGTTGAAATCTAGGTATGTTTCATGCTTTGTTGGATTGGTACTTTAAATTGAAGAAATGAAGGGTCAGTGTAGAAATTGTGACCAACTTAACCTTGCTTCAGTTTTGATTGACTTTGGCTGAAATGATTATTGAGAAACCTTAACAGCATTTAGTACCTCAAAATTTTAAAGCTCTATTTTCCCAATTACAAAATTTTATGTCCCAAAATATTCAAGACAGTTTGTATTATTTTATGTAATATGAAGAGCAGTGGCATAACTATTGTCTTAGGAGTCGAATGATTGAAATGATATATATTTGATTTATGTAATCAGTTTCTAAATCACAAAATAAGATTGCCTATCAGAGACCCGTATAATAGATAAATTCTGTTTCATGCATAATGAAAGCTTTATTAATATCATCTCGTTTTTTTAAGCAAAGTGGTTCCATAGTGGGTTTTGGTGATATGATATGTATGAATATGTTGTCAAGTATTCAATTTTCTGTTTTAATCTTGCTAAACGTTACATTTTTCACTTTTATCGTATCTGTGATTTTTGTTCACCAACATCAGACACAACCCAAGAAATTTTATAAAGTATGTTTCACCTTGTTGATAGAACCCTTTTGCTATGTCTAAACTTGCCCCACTAGGAATGATTGTCTATTTTTTAATTTACTGTCACCAAGGTATAATCGTATGCATGCAAAACACTATCTGAAATCATGGATTCAAACTAAACTTTGTGTTCTAATTGATTATAGATGCTAATCAACGCCTGTTTCATATGGCATACTGTATATGACCTCTTTAACCATTTTAAACGAGTTTTATTAATTTTGTCCAAACCTACAACATTCGAGTATTACATACACTTGCATATAATACAAACCTCATATACGTTCCGATGCATAAAAATGTACCTTCCATGTCTAGAAGTTCCAGTGGTTGTAGCAATCATACGTTGGTGCATTAGGTACATAAGCATGCAAATTTTTTTAACATGAATCATCGACCGTATGGGGGTCTGCACTCTGTTTATATATATATTGAAGTGTTTACTTTATCCGTACACCTTAAGAGCTTGAACTTGTCCCTATCATGATATTTCTGACTGATAGTCCCTTACACTGGAATCGTAGTAAGTTTTTGTATTTGTCTTAGGTGTACATTTTAAAATTCAGCGTAGTACATGTTGGAATTTGAAATATGAATTGTATGTACAAGTGAATCGGTATTAACTTGCGATGTGTAATTAAGAAGACTGATCTAGCTGCATGTTGTGATAATCTGAACTAACCTCTTCGTTTAATTGTGTGAGTGCTCAAACCTCTAAATATAAATTAAGATGAATCTTCTCTATCTTTCGTTCAATTTTTGGGTACTGTTGATGGTTGATGCATATGCCTAGAGTCAGTTACTAGTTAGAACTACTTGTATATTTGAATAGTTACTTGAACATTAAACATAAAGATGGAGTGTGTAATGTCAAAGTGGAATTTAACTTGAGCAACCGGATGTTATGTAATTGCTGTTTAACGGGCATAATATTCGATCCTTAACTTGAATACTCTGTTGTAAAACCTGTGCCTAAAAACTTAATATCATATATATTGTCATTATTTTGTGACGTCCTTACTGAGTAGATGCATTGCTATTTGTACGGATGAGATTAGTTATCTGTTTAAGTGAACCTTGGAGTTGGTGTTTTCATGCATGTGATCTCGTACCCTAAATCTTAGTTGTCCCTTGAATGCAAGTTTAACTACAGCTAGGAACGGTGAATGCGAGTATTGTGAACTTGATTTATAAAAATTTGGTCTGTTTTGGTGGGTTATGTTTGATAGCCGCTGCAGAATTGTAATATGTGTCAATGTTTGAAAAATTCATATCATGGTTAATGGATCCTCTGATCAGTGGAGTCAAGTACATCTGAGGTACCTAGGACAGCGGAAAGCTCGAGGAAGTTTCCTCATGCGGGTGTTTTGACGAACTGTATGAGAGGTACCACTTAACATGATATGTATGAAAAATAGGATAGAAGTTTTGGAATTTTATGAAGATTCCTCTCAATTGAAATTTGGATTGTGATGTGTACTGTTTTGCTTGCTTGACTTCTTGAAGGTTAATAAGTATAAAATTATGCCTGTAATGTTACATGGAATATTCTCCGTAGTGTGATGTTATTAATTGAGGAAGTACTTTTCTTTGTACATGGAACCCTACATTCTAAAGAATCTCTTTATTTAGGCCATTGACTTGTTAACCGCATCGCTATATGGAAACATTTAAATTCTTGATCAGTGAGTAGTAGAATGGTTTGGCATCAAGAGTGAGTGTTGATATAGGGATTTTGAAGAATCACCTATTTATTGTCGTACTCTATTTCATAGGGGAAATCTGTTGTAGTCACCGGATTGATGTGCAATGACTAGTAGATGCATAGCTGGGTGTAACATAACGTAGTGTACGAGTGAGATAGTGTTAGACACCTGAATTAAGTAGCCTTTGGGAAGGTAGGACGAAGTTTGGGGACAAACTTCAAAATAAGGAGGGGAGAGTGTAACATCCCGCCTAATTAGGAATCTATTTAAATTGCAATTAGGAATGTGGTAGAGCACTTGCCTTCATATTATATAAATGTTTGATTTAGGATGAAGTTAAAATAAATTAGGGAATTATTTGTAGTACCTTGGAAGACGAGTACCTATTTTGGGCATGTGAAATTAGGAATAATTTAATTATAACTTATAGAAAGTATGATGCTACTTAGAATTATATGGGTACTCATTAAAAGTATGTGAGTAACTTTATTACAAAGAATAAACCCTTAGTTAATAATTTGAGGCACCTAAAATAATAAGGCAAGGGTTAATTTCCATTTTGGGAGAACAATGGGACTTATATATATTTTGAACCCATTTTTTTCACTAAGGGCCACGGCCCAAGACCCCAAATGTAAGGCCTAAATCAGCCCAGGATACTTTCCCTCATGATTCCTTATCTCATCCCGAACAATACCTACATGTCAGTCTACTATTGGCTTAGAATCAACCTTTTGTCCACATTATCCTTCCATGCGCTTGGTGTAAGGGAAAAAGGAAATTTTGATTACTTGAGTCTTTGTCCCAAGTCACTCAGCGCTGCCTCACCTTGTAGCCAATAAGGAAGAAGAGAAAGTTCTGATTTACAGTATACCATCATTTAGCCTCTTCCTTCTTGCGTGGAGTAAGGGAAAACAAAGCATGATTGTTTTTCTTCCATCTCTTTACATGTGCGAATAGAAAAAGGGAGACCCACATATATCTGGTTGATCGTCATTGTTGACCATAACGACTCTGCCTCATCCCTATTCCTCACCCGATGTGAGCGCTGCCATAAGAAGAACAAGTAGTTTAATTGCTGCCCCATTGGTTCAGAAGCATCAACAGATTTACTCCCTTCCCTTCCTATGCGTATGGTAAGGGGAATAATCAATCTGATTGTTCACCCTTTTGGTTCAGAAGGTAGACCAGCTTTATCCACCCCCATCTCCTCCCTAAGCGCATTGTAGGACGCACACACATCCCTCATTGCATGTTCTTTCTCTCATCCAGTCCACAAATCATGAACACTTGGGGAGAAAACAAAACACTTAACTATATTTTTTTCCTCTCCTCAAGTCCGTGAAGCCACATTGGGAGACAACCAAACTCAGAATCATGTTCTCATCTCTTCCCTGGTTCGGCCATGGACTAATCTCCAAGGAGCTTGTGATTTCATTCAACCCATCGTCCTTCTTTCCTTGTGTACGCCGTCAACCCCAAGTGGGGAAAAGCAAAACCGAAATTTGGAGCATAGGAAAGTATAAAGCTGCTCCTTGCCAAACCGTGACTGTTGTGTACCAGCCAAAAAGGTATTTACAAAAAGATAAACCTCTCATTTACTCTCCTCTGTTTCAATTACATGTGGGTTCTAGGAAGTTAGGCTTTTGTTAATTATGTTTCTTGTTTCTACTCGTTTTGGCCGACTTGGACCTAGCCATGGTAAGTTCAAGGAATAGTTTTGGGACTTGGAGCAGTAGCCTGTTATATTTGTTGGTCGGTTGTTGAATTAGGATGATGTATCTAGTGCTATATGTATTACATGAAATTGTGCAGCCTGTTTAAGAACCTCCCTTAGCACACACATAGGGTCAGTAGGTTTGGCTATGTAAGTAAAAATCATGAACAACCCTTGATGCTAAAAAACTGAACTGGCTTGTTTGTAAAACAGTGGAGATTTAGTTAGTTGCTAACCAAGGTTGGGATAAAATAAAGGCAGAAAATTAGTAGCTTTGGGAAGCATGATAAACCGATTAAAATACAAGGACTAGAAACTTGAAAATTTGCTTGTGAATTACTGTATGGCGTGAATTAAATTAAATTGACAACATGCTCTAGGCCACTTTACCGTACTCTAGGCTTTGTGGGGCTGGCTATTTAAATTAAATCCTGAATGTTTTTATGCTAAGGAAGCCGAACCTCTATGTGTTGGATTTCATCATTGTAATGGAGTTGCTGGAATTATAAGAAGTCAGAAATTCATGCAGTAAATTAATCATGAAAACCGAATTGGTATGTGTTGGGGACTTAGGATTTTAGTATGGTAATATGTTATTTAATTAATGGGAAGGCAGAAATTGATGAGCACAAGAAGCAGGGTAAATCAAATGAAATGCAAGAATTTGAGAGGCATGGAATTGACATACGAATAATAGGAATACATGAATAAAATTCTGACTTGCAGTGCACTTGATTAGGTGCGCACAACGCTATGTGAGCATGGACTTATTATTGCTGTTGTCTGATTAATTTATTGTGGCACGCGAGGTAAGTGTCTGGCGGTATTACCTAATGTGACTATTAACTAGTGTATGAAGTTGTGAATTGTTGCTCACATGTGCCTAATGATTATCGTGCTATTTATGATGAAAGTATTCTGCCTATGGAAATGTTATGATGGTAACTCTGTTATGAAAAGAAATGATGGCGTGGCAGTATGGCATCAAAAGTACATGAAGTATATGTTATGATGATGATGATATAAGCATGCACTTTACATCATACCGCATCTGTTTTTCTGTTTTGTGTGTGACAGCATGGCATGCATGCACAGGATTCATGTAGCCTTGAAATTTAGAATAGTTATATACAGGACCATGTGTTTGAGCACGCATCATATAGGCATCCCTCGGTACCAGGGTATGGGACACTTGGCATCCGTCCGCATAGGTCACAGTGGAATTCACCAAATGAGGGTGCCGTGCATTGAATTTCCACTGTGTTTGTACGCGCACGACGGTGCTATGAGCGTAAAGATGGCGTTATATACGCACTATGATATATTATGATGTTTATCAAGAAATGAAGTTAATGTTGATGCGACTGTTTTATGATTTTGTGCCTAGTTAGTATTGTTGCATTATTGGTTTTGTTGCCACACTACTGGGATTTTTCTCACCCCTTTGGGGCTGCTATTTTTACAAAATGGCAGGAGGACGGAAGATCATTGGAAGACATGATAATATGGATATTTGCTGTTATGTGCTGCTGTATGGACTATTGTTGTTGCTGTTTATTTGATGGATGACTGTATTAAATTGAGTAGTTTGGATTACTGTTGAATTATGATTTTATTACTATTTTTAAGTCTTTTGTGATCAGCAAGTATTTTGAAAACAAATTCCTGAAACGTTTTGCGAAAATAATTTCTGAGGTTTTTGAATGCTGATTTTCTAAACAGATTTAACGAGCACTTTACGAGTTATATTTAGTGGGGCTACAGACCTTCGATTCGCTTATATTTTATATGCACGTGGAGCCCCACGTGTCTAGTTTTTTATTATATAAACTTTACAATAGAATCTTGAGAACCTGATTTTATACGAATTTTTAAAGACAGCAACGTCTGCCAGGAAATTACTATTTTCAACAAGTTAAGGAATTTTGAAAGTATACTCTGATTTTTGTAAGGAACCCGATTTCAATTACAAGTTTTAATTAGCAACGTCAAAATGTTTTTTTTTCAGTACTTGAAATATGACAAAAGAACTCTAATTCCGCTTAGCAAACAACTCTCTTGGAGACCTACAAGGGAGGGTGTTACACTAATTACTTGTAACGCCCGGCCACTTGCAAGAATGAATGACTGTCCCCACACACTAACACGAGACTTTTCAGTGTGCTTTGTTCTCACTCGCACACTTCTCGGGAAAACTTCCCAGGAGGTCACCTATCCTAGAATTGCTCCAAGTCAAGTACGCTTATCTGTGGAGTTCTTCCGATCTGGGCTACCGAAAAGTAGATGCATCTTGTTAGTATAACTACCAATTAATTTTTATAAGCCATTCCTAACTGTACCGTCCCATACCAGTACAGTCTGTGGAATCCCTCTCTTTCGGGTGTTGATTCGATTCATTCATGAACCCCCAAGTTGAAAGATTTGGCATGAGCCGCTCATTGTCCGTGCCCTTTCACACTGGCGATCACTCCCTGCCCTTGCCAGCTCTTGGGATGTTACATGCCCACCAGCTTCCGCCTGGTTCGTCCTTGAACCACACCGTATTGGAATAGAGGCCCTGCTCTGATACCACTTGTAACGCCTGACAACTTGCAAGAATCAATGACTGTCCCCACACACTAACACGAGACTTTTCAGTGTGCTTTGTCCTCACTCGCACACTTTCCGGGAAAACTTCGCAGGATGTCACCCATCCCAGAATTGCTCCAAGTCAAGCACGCTTAACTGTGGAGTTCTTCTGATCTGGGCTACTGAAAAGTAGATGCATCTTGTTAGTATAGGTAGTACCAATTAATTCTTATAATCCATTCCTAACTGTACCGTCCCATACTAGCACAATATCTGGAATCCCTCTCTTTCGGGTGTTGATTCGATTCATTCATGAACCCCCAAGCTGCAAGATTTGGCATGAGCCGCTCATTGTCCGTGCCCTTTCGCACCGGCGATCACTCCCTGCCCTTGCCAGCTCTTGGGATGTTACAATAGGGATAATTTAATTATTACATATAGAAACATTAGCTACTACCTAGTGATCACGTGGAATGATAATTGTTAAGAAACTATTTAAATTGCAATTGGGAGTGTGGGGTCATGCCATGAAACGAAATTACATGTAGGTGTGGGATAGATTTAAACTTTAAACTACATCCCCTAATAAAACCTTAGAAAATACTTAGTAATTACATGAAATTATGATTCATAGGAAGGTGAATTAAACCCCATGCATTAACAATGGGCCACGACCCAAACTCAAAAAGTGAATCCCATTTAGCCTTAAAATACCCCTACACTTATTTATTGGTTATCTTAAAAGGCAATCAGCATGTATGAATTCTGATTGGTCATCCAGAGTGTCGAAAGCTTCATCAAACTCTTCCTCCTTAATCTCCACTTCCAACTCGGGCAATATATTAAACCAGGGATGGGTTCCGTAAACTTAACCATCACAAGAAAAAGACAGAAGGGAAGCAAAGCCAAAGAAATACAAAGAAATACCAAAAGAGGAAGCCAGAAACATTATACCTGGGATAATGCAGAGAATGAAGAAAAGAGGACCGGCACTAGCACACTTTCACGGAGGGGAAACAAGGCAGGAGCAATAGGGAGTCTGGGTTACGTGAAGAAGGTCCTCAAGGAGGTGTTTCTCCCCTTTAAATAGGGAGAAAAGGACCAGGATGGCATACACGTGTAAGGCCCTCCATACCCAACCGTAGGATGGCACAACCGTCATGAAACGGGCGGTTGTGATGAGGGGCCAGATGGTAATTGCAGGGGGCCAAGACACCCCTCACGTCGCATTAATGCGTCGTGCCTCGTGACCTTTGAGTGCCTGCAGTTGATTGCAATGATGGAAATACCCATCATTACTGCTCTCGAAACTCGAAAAGCCACCTTGTCTGTCAGAATGGCAGTCTTTTCCAAAAAAAAGGGCCCTTGCCAACCGCTCGGATCGCCAAGTAGGCATCGCCAAACTCCAAACATTCGCTAGAGTCATTAAGAGATCCCTCTCTACGCCCTGGCAACCGCTCGGATCGCCAAGAAGGCAACGCCAAAGCCATGTCAACCCAGGAAACCCCACTCGAAACTGCCAAACTGCCAAACTCCAAATATTCGGTAAGTCATCAAGAGATCTCTATCTGAGCCTGTACCAACCGTTCAGATCGCTAAACAAGGCATCGCTGAAGCCCATTTTCCTTGGCACCAACCTACGCTTGCTACCAAGCTGGGGGCTCTTGTTCCGGATGGCCCAACAAGGCTACGACCCAAATGTCCAGGCCCAATCTCAACCCTCAATCCACGTCAGCCCTACCAGCTGGTGAGATCCCCCAACTCCCAACACGGCCACTCTCCCAAGGGGAAACACCAAAATGTCCTACCTTGGGACCATAACCCCCAAAGGCAGTCGCCCCAGATGCCATAAGGGGAACTGCCCTTTGTCCCACGCTGATACCGCCAGGCATAGGGGGTGCAGCGCTGCTAACACAGCAGCGTCTGCCACGCCCAGCACTGCTACCCTTAGCAGATCCCAAGGAGGGTTGACCCCCTCCTCACCAACCCAAGCAAGATTCACATCACTTCCACTATAAATAGCCCCCTGGGCACTTGAGGAAGGGATCTTATGTATCGTTATTATGCCCATTTATATTGAGTCATATTACACACATCTAACCCCATTGTTAATTGCTTGCTACATACTTGGAACAATACCTCTTAGCTTGGTTTCTACCTGTGCTAAGGGTATCATCCATACAGTGATTCTATACCTAAAAGGAACATAGTGGGCTTATAGATCCCAACGGTACACTTTGGATGCACAACGTGTAACTATTATTTTAACAAAGAAAATGAATAATAATAGAACATATTCTCAACACTCCCCTCTTGCAATCAGTTTGTTAAAAAACACTAAGCCATACCTTGATAGCTAGACAAAATATCAAAATGAGGTATCCTAAACATCCACTCAAGAGATCTAAAAAATTGGTATAGAAACTGAAAACCAGTTGACATGTGTTAACTGGTCACGGTTCACATAGTTGAATGGTTCATTTTTTATTATATCTATATATATATATATATATATATATATATATATATATATATATATATATATAGGGTTATATTTATCTCATTCAACATGAGATAAACCAAATTCCTATACACACATAATAAAAGTGGATCTCACCTCTATTTTTGCTCTATCCAATTATTTGTGGGTCCTTCTAATAATTTTGTTTCACTAACATAAGAAAACACATCTCCAACAACATAAGAAAAACATTTCCCATATATATATATATATATATATATATATATATATATATATATATATATATATGATCCTTTGACACCAGTCTCAAATTTAAAATTTGACACTTCAACTAAGAGTCGTTAGATCAAAAAAGATCAACGACTCTTATTTGTAAGCATGTGACACCATTGAGAGAGAGAGAAATATTTCTCAAGCAGCTTGAGATATATTTATCTCCGTCGACCACAGAACTATGTCATTTTATTTATTTATTTCCTTATATTAATTGATTCACATTTGAATGGTTATGATTCTCTATTTCTCTCTCTTCCTTTATCACCGTAGATCCATCTTTATACGGTTATGATTTAGTAGCCGGAGATAAAGTTATTTCAAGCAGCTTGAGAAACGATAAATCAATATATATATATATATATATATATATATATATATATATATATATATTGTAACATCCCATCTTATTAGGAATTTATTTAAATGGCAATTAGGAATGTGGTAGAGTATTTGCCGTCGGATTATATAAATGTTTGCTTTAGGATGACGTTAAATTAAAATTACGAAATTATTGATATTACCATGGAAGGGGAGTACCCATTTTATGCATAAGAAACTCTAGTTATGAGTATAGGGATAATTTAATTATTACATATAGAAACATTAGCTACTACCTAGTGATCACGTGGAATAATAATTGTTAAGAAACTATTTAAATTGCAATTGGGAGTGTGGGGTCATGCCATGAAATGGAATTACATGTAGGTGTGGGATAGATTTAAACTTTAAACTACATCCCCTAATAAAACCTTAGAAAATACTTAGTAATTACATGAAATTATGATTCATAGGAAGGTGAATTAAACCCCATGCATTAATAATGGGCCACGGCCCAAACTCGAAAAGTAAACCCCATTTAGCCTTAAAATACCCCAACACTTATTTATTGGTTATCTTAAAAGGCAATCAGCATGCATGAATTCTGATTGGTCCACTCCCTAGGCATATATTCCTATTGGCTGAAAACTTCTACCTCATCCAAATCAATCCTCTCTAAGGTTCTCATGGAAAGATAAGGTTGATGCTTTGGCAATTGAATTAGATGGATAGTTAACCTTCTTCCTCATATTGTTCTTGCGCGAAAACAGTGAGGAACCGAATCAGAAGCGTGACCCACCCTTTCACACTCCTAAAGTACCTTGAACATCTAAACTGAACCTCACCTCACTCCACACTTTCTGCCAAACCCAACCGATGGTTGGGGGGGTATGCATGTTGGATCATTTTCCCTCATAGTCTCTATCAAGACCGTGGTTGTCCTAGGAGGGGAATAAGCACTTAAGTTCCACTTCTATTCCTTCCCTTTTCAACCGAACGTTCATCAGCAAGGAAGTGAGGAGCTCATCGCTGATTCCTGTCCTTTCTTCCTCGTTTGGGACCAAGCCTAG